ATAGTTAATTCATTCTCGCTCTATTTTCCACACATGCCATCGATTTGTAAGGCGGCAACGTGTGCAGGGCGACTCAGTGCGTCTGCCTTGTTCTTGTGCCCCGGCTTATACACGATGTCGTAATGGAAGTGGGTTTCGAGAAACTTAATCCACCGGACCTGCCGCCTGGAGAGTGTTGGTTGGGTCTTCAGGTACTTGAGGCTGCAGTGGTCAGTGTAGACAGTCGTTTTTCTTCCTTCGAGATAACACCTCCATGCCTTAAATGCGTTGACGATGGCGAGGGCCTCTTTGTCATGGATTGGGTAATTGAGTTCTGCCCCTGTGAAGTTTTTTACTGAGGTATGCAATGGGTTGCAGTCCCTTCCCTTGATCCTGCATGAGTACTGCGCCCACTGCTTGATCGCTAGCATCGGCCTCGATGACATAGTCAAGTTCAGTGTCTGGCAGGATAAGAACAGGTGCGGACGTGAGTGCGGTTTTAAGTTGTTCCACGGCTTCCTGGTGCTTCGCCTCCCATTGATATGGTGTATTCTTCTTCAACAGGTTCGTTAATGGCGCGGCAATCTTGGCGTAGTTCGGTACGAACTGGTTCTAGTAGTTGGCGAATCCAAGGAACTGTTGTAACTCCTTCACGTTCTCAGGGGTCTTCCACGTTCGCACTGCTTCGATCTTCTTAGGATCCACGTGAACTCCTTGAGCGCTCACCATATGTCCAAGGAACTGGACTTTTTTCAACGCAAACTCGCTCTTGGATAGTTTCACGTAGAAGCGTTCTCGTCGAAGAATTTCAAACACCCGTCGTAGATGCTCAACGTGCTGCTTCATATCTTTCGAGTAGATCAGGATATCGTCCAAATATACCACCACGCACTCGTCCAGAACGGGCCGAAGGATGTGGTTCATTTCTGCCTGAAATGTGGCTGGTGCGTTAGTGAGTCCGAATGGCATCACGAGATACTCGTATGACCCGTACCGAGTTCGAAAAGCGGTTTTGTGGATAGAGTTGTCCGCCATACGAATTTTCCAGTATCCCGATCTGAGGTCGAGCTTGGAGAATACCATAGCACCGCAAAGTTGATCGAGTAAGTCGTCGATCCGTGGTATCGGGTATTTATTTTTTACAGTCTGCTTGTTCAAGGCTCGGTAGTCGATGCACATTCGGAGACTTCCGTCTGGCTTCGGAGTGAAGAGAACTGGAGCTCCGTACGGCGAAGTCGAAGGTCGAATCAGCCCTTTCTCCAGGAGATACTCTATTTGTTTTTTCATATCGGCAAGCTCTGTCGGGCTCAGCCGGTATGGTGCTCGAAATGTTGGCTTGGACCCCGGCTCTTCTACGATCTCGTGTTGATGTGTCCGGTATGGCGGTAGTTGATCAGGTAAATCGTCGGGGAGAACGTCCTGGAACTCTTCAAGAATTTTCTTGACTGCTGGAGGAAGTTCCTGGGTCTGCTTCTCTCCGTTGTCTGCCTCGTTGACTATCGCCATGAATCCCGCCGTGGTCCGTTTGACGTCCTTTTCAAAGCGTGCGAGTGTCTCGACTGGAATATTTCCCGTGTCGTCCCATTTGGGAAGGCTGATTTTCCTCCCGTTGTTGTTGATGTTGGCCGTCTGGTTAACCCAGTTGATCTCGGGGTTGAACTTTTTAAGAAAGTCTCTCCCGAAGATTACGTCGAGTCCTTTGATATTTGTGACGGGGAGAGCAGGCTTCCATCGAAGGGGTCCAATCTGGAGTAGCAACTGTGTTTCCCCATAGATAGGTAGCTTACTGCCATCCACCATCGTTGCAGAGAAGCTTGAGGACTTGATGTCACCTCTGAGTCGATCGATTGCCTTTTTGTCATAGACGCTGTGCGACGCCCCGCTGTCCACGAGTGCTTGGAGGCGCTGTCCATTGCAGATCACCTCGAGCAGGAGTGGTGAGCGTTGCTCGGAGTACCCAAAAATAGTCTCATTAATAGGATCATAGGGTACATCCCAATATTCAGTACACACCGTGGTTCCACTGCTTTCTTCTGGACAACTAGCTGGCCTGGGCTGCGTGGAGAAAGGCTCTTCTCCAATGCCAGGAGTAGAGGTAGTAACCGTACAAGTTGACCCTGAGGGGGTGGATCCGGTCGACGCCTGCGATCCACTGGATGCATCCTTGAGGGGTTTTCGGAGTTTCTGCAGCTTCTTTTGAACTCCCAGCTGCCTCTTCAGCTGCTTCAGCTCCATAGACTTCTTCCCTGGGGAGTGGAGAGTCTTCTTGGGCTGGTTCAGGGAGAGGACGTTGACGCCGTGAAAAGGTCTACTCCTTTCCACACTCCTTAATTTTTTCCCCAGCTCCGTAGGCACCGGTACCACTTTTTTAATTGTCTGCTTCCTCTGGAGTTCTTCCCGGAATTTGTTTATGGCTCCGGACCCGCGAAAATCGCCAGTCTTCATTAAAGCATCTTTGAAAGATAACTTTAACGAATTCTGTTTTTTCCCGGGGTCGAATTGGAGAGTTCCCGTCTTGGTCGAGTCTGTTTTCGCGGAGGTTTTCTTTTCCTCGGCGAATTCCTCTGACAAATTTCGGTCAAGGGGCTTGGGATTTCGCCCTTGATTCTCCAAATCTCGCGCCCAATGCTGTCCTTCAATTTCGATTCGGTCCAGATTGCGCTGACGCTTTCGGATCTGTTTTTTCTCGCCAGCACGATCCGCAATCACTGGCGAGATCCGTTTTTTGACTTTTTGTCTTTAGTTTCGCCACTCCCACGAGCTCGGAATGCCGCACGTGCAAATTTCATGTGAAAACAGTCGACAATCCGATGTCCGTTTCTGCCGCAAAATTCGCAAAGTGTTTTGTTTTTTGCAGGACGTGAACTCGCGTCGAATTTGTCGACTTCCATGGGGTCGGCGAACGTGGTTGAAGCCGAGCGATCCCCTTGTCATGATCCGACGACGTGGGGTCGTCGTGTCCCGGAGTTGACCAAGTCAAAACGCTCCGCGGCCGATACGATTTCGCTGTAGCTGCTGCAATTCGCTGCTGCAACCTGGCGCCGAATGTCGGTTTTCAGCCCCGCGATGTAGGACTGAATTTTTTCGCCCTCGGTAATGTCGGGAATGCGATTATAAAATTCCTCCATCTGCTGCGTGTATTGCGCGACACTCCCGTATTGCCTATGGTGATGTAATTTTTCGCGCGCAATATAAGTGGAATTAATCGGCTCAAAACGTTTGAGAAGGTCTGCCCGGAATTGCTGCCACGTGGCTTCGCCCTGGAAAATGCTACTGTTGCTTCCGAGCCACTCGAGAGCTGGACCGCGCATCAACGTTGTCGCGAGACGAATTTTCTCGCCGTCGTACTCCGTCGTCGTTCATCCGATTGCCGCGAAATAAATTTCCATCGTCGCGAGCCACCGCCTGACGTTGGATTTTCGATCGCTAGGGTCGAACGATTCCGGCGAGCGAAGTTTCGGAACCTCGAACTGACGCTGCGACTGCTGCGAAGTCATCGAAGCATGAATGTTCATGGTCGAGAGGAGCCGCGTAACGCGCTGCAGTTCGTTTCGCATCTGCTCGTTCTCCAATCGCGACCGTTCAGTCGTCGCTCGCATCTCCGCTTCCATCTTGGCGATTTGCGCGAAGAGCTGCTGCGTAACGTCGTTGGTCGCCGGTGAATCCATCCTGTTCAAAAACCACGCGAGGGGGTTAATTCGAAAAGCGCGGAACTGGTACTTACCAGAAATCGGCGTCAAATTGGTCGCCCCCGGCGGTTTTTCGAGGCAATTTTTTCCGCGACCGCTGCTTAGCCGAGAGTTGTCGAGTGAGAACGGCTCTGATTACCAAGTGTCACAGGATCGAATTCTCAATCGAAACTTGTCACTAAAACTGAATACAAGGCCTATTTATACTCAGAAAGTACAAGGATAAACGAGATAAAACGAACCTTCGGGAACACACCCTTCCCGATACTATAATCACAAGTGCGCACAAGCACGCAGCTATTGGCACTTGGGATTACGCCCAGATTACACCGTATACACCACTATCGGCGCTGTCGGTGCCGTATAATAGGTATGTCGGTGGGAAAAGTAGGAAATAAGAGAAATAAATAGAAGGCTCTAGAAAATAAAATAGTAGGCCGATTGAGATGAGATAAAGACCAAAATAAAGAGGAGAAAAGGGAGAATAGGATAACGGAAAAATATAATAGTGAGAAAATATTATAACGGGGACGTCCTCTCACATCTGTCCCGGGTGATCTGCAAGCCAAGGTAGCTGCGCAGTTCAACCAGGTCTGTGCACGTATGTCTCTTCTGCAGCTCGGACTTCACGTGGGCGAGTCCAGGAGTGTGAGCAGTGGCAAAGACCAAGTCGTCGACGTACACGAGGATGTAGAACGGCGACAAAGAGGTGTCGGTGCGCAGGAACAGCGACGGGTCGGCTGTAGAAGGAGCAAACCCAAGAGCCGCAAGTGTAGTCCTCAGTGTGTCGTGCCACTCACGGGGCGCCTGGCTGAGACCGTAGACTAGCCGCCGGAGGCTCCACTGGGTACCAGGAGGAAACGACCCAGTGAAGCCAGGTGGGCGGCGCAGCCAGATCTCCTCGTGCAAGCTGCCCTGCAAGAAAGCTGTGCTGAAGTCAAGAGAGTGGAGCTCGTATTCGCGCTGCGCGGCTATGTGCAGCAGCACCCGAAGAGTGGTCATCTTCGGGGTGGGAGAGAAGGTCTGAAAGTAGTCAACTCCCTGCCGCTGACTGAAGCCTCGAGCCACGTAACGCGCCTTGAAGACAGGCGAAGAACCCGGCGGCCGCTTCACCCTGAAAATCCACATGCCACTGACGATGTTCGCCCCAGGTGGGGGAACCTCATCGACGTAGGTGCCTATGGACTTCCAAGAAGCCATCTCTGCGTCCATGGCTGACTGCCACTGAGAGGAGTAGGTGAGAAAACTGAAACAAGAATGATGTGCACTAAGGAATGGAATGTGGTACAAATATGCAACCCTAGAAATGTGTACCCCATATAGGCTACCGCACTACAGCCTACAGAACATTATGATTTGACAGTAGGGACCCTCGATCGCCTTAGCGTACGATCGAGGAGTCGGGATGTCTGGTGCATCCGGGTCTCCCTTAGGGGCAATCAGCGTGGACACGAGATGAGGCAAAGCAGCAGCAAAACACTGGAACTCCTCCTGCCTGTCCTCAAGGACGTCCGTGCTAAGAGCACACTCACCCCCGACGGACGGAGGACAGACAGACTCAGACTCAGCAATAAGACTAGCGGCGTAGTCTAGACGACAGCGCGCAGCAAAGTCGACAAGCTCAGCCACTAAGGCAGACGCAGCAGTGGACTCAAAGGAAGGGTCAGTGACAACAGTAGCTAGCAGACGCGTGACAGTAGGACTGGCAGCACGAAGAGAGTCAGACTCCGGGTCAGCAAGAACAGGAAGAGAGGACTCAGGAGGAGACGGCAACGGGGCACGCAGAGGAGCAGTGGAAGGACGCAGTGCCATCTGGTGTGTGCTTGGGACCGTAGGAGGAGGCGGACGCAGAGCACGACGACTGGTGCGAGCAGCACGAACAGGCGACGCAGGACCAGACGTAGGCTCAGAACGCTTAGTAAGACCTCCAATAGGACCACTGTAGAGAGAAGGAGCAGGTAGGGGGGAGGCGGGCTCTAACTGTGACTGCGGCTGGACAGGCTGCGGACACTCTAAGGGAGGAGCAGGAGTAGTAGAAGGCGGGAGACCAAGAACCTGCTTAAGGAGCGGAACGAAGTACGGTCGCGGCCACGCAGTGCCTCCAGAACAAGCAGGGACAGCACCAGTACCCCCAGCGGCAGCACCAGCGCCAGCAGTACCTCCAGCTCCAACAGCGCCAACTCCAGCACCCTCAGAAGCACCCGCGCCAGCAGAACCACCAGCGCCAACACCCCCAGCAGCTCCAGCTCCAGTATCGCCAGCAGCTCCAGCAGTACCTCCGGGACCAGCAGCAACAGTAGTACCTCCAGCTCTAGCAGCACGGCTCCAGCGCCGGGCAAACCACTCGCGCTGCTCCTGTGGAGAGTGTGGCTCCCGCCTCGACAAAGCTTCGCGAGAGGCCACACGAGCAGACCCAGCACCCCCACGCTCCGCACCCCCAGGCTCAGCAACCCCAAACTCAGCACCCCAAGGCTCAGCACCCCCAGACTCAGCACCACCAGGCTCAGCACCCCTGGACTGAGCACCCCCAGGCTCCGCACCCTCAGGTGCAGCACCTCCAGACTCGGCACCCGCTGGCTCAGCACCTCTAGCAGCACCAGAGTCAATAGCTACCTCGACAGGCTCGACTGCGTCTACCTGGGACACACCTGACAGGGCAGGACCCTGAGGGGGGAGGGGGTCTACCGGGGGAGGACCTGGCGCAAGGAAGAGCGACGGCGGGGGGAGGGGCGCAGTGCGGTAGGGGAAGAGACGGTAGTAAGGCACCGACTCGTCAAAGGTGATGTCCTGGGAGGACAGAACACGGCGCGAGGTGGGGTGGTAAAACTGCCACCCAGGCCCGTCAGGGGGGAAGCCAAGGAAGATACAGGGAACAGCACGGGGGGACAGCTTGTCCGCAGACAAGTCGCGAACAAACGCCCAAAATCCCCAGACCCGAAACGCAGACGCATCGCCAACCTTCCCGGTCCACCGCAGGGTGGGGGAGATCTCTGGCAAGGAGACCCGGGGCTGGAGGTTGAGCTGATGCGCTGCGTACTGAACCGCAAACGGCCACTGAAAATGGGAGGCAGCCGCATGGATCATGGACGTACGAGCGACGTCCATGACCATGCCAATGCCCCGCTCAGCAATCCCATTTTTCTGTGGAGAGGCCGGAAGCGTGAAGGTCTAGCGGATGCCCTGTGCTCGACAGAAGGCTCCCAGATGGGCAGAGGAAAACTCCCCGCCTCTGTCAGAGTGAAGACGCAGAACAGGAAAGTCCAAGCCGAAAATATCTCTGAGCTGGAGACGAGCTGCGCGGATCCAGTCGATCAACACCTCAGTGACGTCACCCTTGGTGCTCAAGGGGAAGACTGTGGTGTAACGCGAGTAGTCCTCAACCACCAACAGGAAGTAACGCTCGTGCCCCTGTCCACGGACGCGGGCGGGGCCCCACACGTCCATGTGGAGGGTCTGCAGCGGAGCCTCTGTCGGAGGAAACTCGGAGGAGTGAGGGGCGGCGCGCTGTCGCCCCTCGACGCAGGGGACGCAGGTAGGGGCAGGCCCCGGAGGTAGGGGAGGGAGAGACCGGGGGAGACCGGAGACAAGGACACGGGAGGCCATCCCTCGGAGACGAGGCAGGGAGGGGTGACCAAGGCGGTGGTGCCAAAGGAGAGTCTGGTGGGACAGGAGATGACACGAGCAGGGAGCAGACTCAGGACCAGACCTGGACGCTGCAGCAAACACCTGACTTGACGCAGCTACCTGACCAGACTCAGCAGTCAAAGGAGACTCAGTAGTAAGTGTGTACTGGCTCGACCCCGGCCGACGGGTAAACGTGGCCAAGTGTCGGTCTGTCCGAGCAAATGCAGTGGGTCACCCGCTGACTCGCAGGAGTGAACTGGTCAACCCCCCTATCCTGTAGGTCAGCTCCACTCACCAAGTTCGTAGAGAACGAGGGAAGGTAGAGACCGGACAGGGTGCCAGAGGGGGCTGCCGGGCACGGTAGGACAGTGGAGAAGCTAACAAGGACAGGATCCCCAGAGGGGTCCGCCAGGGAGATTGCAAACGGCCGACTAAATGGCGTAAGCGTGGTGCGGTCTCGAAAGAAGGAGCGGGAAGCACCCGAGTCAAGGGTGAAGGTGTGTAAGGCCGGAGCCGGCGTAGTACCTGAGAGAGCAGACTCACCAGCACCTGGGGCAGCAGACGCACTAGCACCTAGAGCAGCAGCCTCACCAGAACCTAGAGCAGTAGCCTCAATGCCCGGATCAGGCGGAACACACAGGTAACATTCACCCTCAACACTACCAGACACAGCATACATGGCAGCAAGAATAGCATCATAGTCAAGATCAAAGATAGCAACCCCCGCCCTAGACAGCTCTCCCCAGCGAGGGATCTCAGAGGCCTCAGGGAACTGGTGACGCCACGCGTCCGTCAGGCGGCCGAAGCAGCGCTGGGTGGAGTGTGGGCCCCCGCACTGCTCAACAGCGCGGTCGTCGGTACGGAGGACGTAGGTACAGGGACCAGTACCCCCACCGCGCTGACGCGCACCGTACCACTCACGAAGCTGCTGAGGGGACAGGGTCTCACGACTGCGCTGTTGCTGCTGGCGCGGACCACCAGCGGAGCAACTCCTCTGCACAGAGCCGCGACCAGCTCCACCGCTGCCGCCGCCGCCTCCGCCACCTCCGCCGCCTCCGCCGCCTCCGCCACCTCCGCCGCCTCCGCTCCCTCCGCCACCGCCGCCGCCTCCACCGCCTCCACTGCTGCCACTGACACCTCCACCCCCGCCACCACTCCCACCACCACCCCCAACCCCCCCACTGCCTCCACCACCACCTCCACCGTCCCCGCCAGCCCCTCCAGCGCCCTTGCCCCCCTTGCCCTTGCCAGTGCGGCGTCTCCCGCTAGGGGCAGACGCAGCGCCGACCGACTCGAAACCAACGAGGTCGGCCGCAGCAGCAGAAGCAACAGAGGGCAAGAGAGGGGAGGGGGAACAGTCGTCAAAGACGGGGGTGCGAGGGTCACTACGAGAGGCTCCTACAGCGACTATGCTCTTCTCTGCTGCTAGGAGGCGCTCCTCGAGGAGGTCAACGGTGAGTGTGGTGGGGCAAACTGAGAGGAAGTGGTCCCTGACTAAGCGAAGGGAGTCAGGGAGCCGAGTGACTATGTAGTAGAGGGTGATGTACATGGGGGGGGGGGGGGGTTCTTGGCACAGAACTCAGCAGGAAGCGCCGCGCGGTAGCGAGTGTCACTAGTGCAAAGGTGCGTAATGAGGTCAGCGACTGTGGGAAAGGCAGCAAGGTCATGGAACAGGTACGGCAGCATGCGGCGGATAAGCGCAGCAGTGGCAGGAGAGGAGTAGCGTGCAACTACAGCGTCGTACAAGGTCTGAGCACTCTTGTACTGGCTAAAGTGTGCACGCTCAGTGGTCGGTAAGTGGCGACGCACAGCAAGGCGGGCATGAGCATCGCGTGTGGCCCACTGTGAGCGAAGAGTGCTGTCAGCAGTAGCAGGCGGGGCAGGAGAGACACCAGAGGTGAGATCGAACAGAGAGAGTCCGTCTGCCCTATCGCACTGTAGGAACAGCTGGAGGTCATCGACCCAGACCTCAAAGTGAACAGCACGACCCTCAGCATCAAAGGTAAGGACACTAGGGGTAGCCATGACTGAAGTGGCCTAGCAGGGAGTGATCTCACCAGTACGAGTAAGTAGGGCCGGGGCGCGCCGGTAGGAGCAGTAGGGGCTCGACGACAGGGCGGCTCAGCGGCTCGGCTGCTGGGCGGCTCGGCGGCTCGGCTTCTGGGCGGCTCGGCGGGTCGGTTGCTGGGCGGCTCGGCTGCTCGGCGGCTCGGCTGCTGGGCGCCTCGGCTGTCGGGCGGCTCGGTGGCTGGGCGGCTCGGCTGCTCGGGGGCTTGGCTGCTCGGCGGCTCGGCGGCTCGGCCGCTGGGCGGCTCAGCTGCTGGGCGGCTCGGTGGCTGAAGGGGCCGCTAGGGGCGGCGACGAGGCCGCGTAGGGAGGGGAACGGCGACGGGGCCGCTAGGGGCGGCGAGGAGGCCGCTAGGGGCGGCGACGGGGCCGCGTAGGGGCGGCGGCAGGGCCGCGTAGGGGCGGCGATAGGGCCGCGTAGGTAGGGAGGCGGCGACGGGGCCGCTAGGGGCGGCGATGGGGCCGCGTAGGGGCGGCGACGGGGCCGCTAGGGGCGGCGTCGGGGCCGCGTGCGTAGGGAGGCGGCGACGGGGCCGCTAGGGGCGGCGACGAGGCCGCTAGAGGCGGCGACGAGGCCGCGTAGGGGCGGCGACGGGGCCGCGTAGGGGCGGCGACGGGGCCGCGTAGGTAGGGAGGCGGCGGCGGGGCCGCGTAGGTAGGGAGGCGGCGGCGGGGCCGCTAGGGGCGGCGACGGGGCCGCGTAGGGGTGGCGTCGGGGCCGCGTAGGGTCGGCGACGGGGCCGCTTAGGGGCGGCGACGGGGCTGCGTAGGTGGAGAGGCGGCGTCTGGGCCGCTAGGCGCGGCGACGGGGCTGCTAGGGGCGGTGACGGGGCCACGTAGGGGCGGCGACGGGGCCGCTAGGGCCGGCTACGGGGCCGCGTAGGGGCGGCGACGGGGCCGCTAGGGGCGGCTACGGGGCCGCGTAGGGGCGGCGACGGGGCCGCTAGGGGCCGCGAGGGGCGGCACGGGGGGCCGTGGGAGGGGCCTGTAAGGGATCTCGACAGAAGGGCGGCCCATAAGGCGTGCCTCGGGCAGAAGCGACAGGCACTCCGGTCAGAAAAAATCTCAGTGGTGGGCCCAAGTGTCAGAATGTTATCTTATGCTCTAGCCTGTTGTGGGGTGCTCTATAGCGAGTACAACCCTTCTAGGGTTCCCTATTTGTATCCCCATTCTTGCTAGTGCACCCCTCTTCTTTCTTCTAAATTTTAACACCAAGGTAGCGTTCCCACTAAAGAACCTGCTCTATACCATGTGAAAGAATGAGGAATGAATGAACTAGCACAAGGTTGGGTACAAGTAGGAAACCCTAGGAAACTGTACCCCATAGTATCTACCCCACTATAGCCTAGACAAGCTATATGATATGAGTTTGACACTACACCCCTACGGGCAGCTCGCCGGCGGTCCCTATGTTCGACCTTGGTTTGTGTGATTGCACGTTTACAGTGTTGTTCCCCAAAGTTTCGCTACAAAAAAAATTGAATTTCGTACGGGATAAGTTCAAGCGCTACATTCGACTTAAAAGGGTATTTTTCACAACTTTTAAAGATCACACGCGCCCTAAGGCCCTGTCTGATTGCACTTCATTCACCAGTACAGCCCCACCAAAGTCTAGCCGAGTTGACCTAGGGTTTCCGAACCTGGGGTCACTACATTCGAGATGCAAGTTAATTTTGATTACAGTCCTGACAGCTGTAGAAACAGTATAAGACGCAACTGTCAGAACCGTGTAGTCAACGGATACAACAAACTTACACGCAATTTAATTGATTCTAGCATAATAAGATACGAGAAAATGTACACAAATTTCCAAAATAGCACGTGCGCTGTCAGAATGTTATTCTTATGTTCTAGCCTGTAGTGGGGTGCTCTATAGCGAGTACAACCCTTCTAGGGTTTGCTATTTGTGTCCCCATTTCTGCTAGTTCAACCCTCTTTCTTCTTCTAACTTTTGACATGCGCAACTCACCGTTGGGTTTTTAATAGATGAAGATTTCAACCCTCGACCAGAAACGCGACCCAAAATAACATAATCAATTGCTCTACAGGAAAACTGTGCACCCGATGGTTTAGGGTAGAATTTGTAGGATACATTTTCTGCTCAAAATGTTTACACCTTCAAAGTGGCAACGGGGAGGCTGCCGTTGGTGTTGCCAGCCGAAACCAAGTATTTTTTGCCCGTGAAGTACTGCTGCTTGACCGGTAGGCAATCATGTTTGGACTGCGGTCCGTAGCAAAAATTACCACACCAGATTTGTAGGTGTAGCGAACCTACTTGAGGATCTGGTTTGGATCTGCCTAACCTCACCGGGGATCTAAAGCCCCATTTTGTAGTTGCCAACCTTTAGCGAGCCACGCTATACTTTATTGGGGCTATAGTTTCCCCTGGACTTCAAAGCTATCCAATATGGCCTAAACGTGCGACTGAATTGTCAAACCCCTAGGTGATATTTAAGCGAGTATAGAACATGCTGAACACAATTTCTACAATTATATTTGAAAAAAGTATCTTTACAAAACAAACTTTTTTGTTGTGAGGCTTTGTTACGAGTGCAATTGAGCGAGCAAGCAAGAATTGCACTACCGAAGCAAGAGTACAATAAGCGAAGTAATGAGCGAACAATATATATCAAAAGCCTAATGTGGTAACGGTTATGCGTGAGAATGTGGTGCGCGACGGGCCTGGCGCCGTGGTTGGGAAATGTCGAGGCAGAGGGCCGGAGAGCGAGCTATCACACAGACCATGTTGGGCTTAGAAAAAGCCTTAGGATCTTTTAGATTTTAGTCTCTGTAAAGTATTGCAGCGGAAGACTTGAATTCTTGTGCTGGTATATTGTGAGAACAAGAATTGATAATAAAGGAAAAATACAAGAGATTTATAGTCTAAAAAGTACCTGTTAAAACATATATGCTTATGTGCTTTAGGCTATATGGGTGTTAGCACTAGGGGGTACACAATTTCTCTCGATGTTGTTCTTGTACCCCTCCCCTTTGACCTAATGACTCACTATTCTCCTAAGATTCTAATATGGTATCAGAGCAGGTAGGTCCGTTAGGACCGTTTTTGCCCCTTCCGCTGCCCGTAGCGTGCCCCTAGTGCGTACCTTTTCGCTGCCCGTCGAGCGCCCTTGGTGTCAAACTCATATGCTATAGTCTGTGTAGGCTGTAGTGGGGTAGACAATATGGGGTACAACATTACTAGGTTTTCCTACTTGTACCCACCTTCTTGCTAGTTCATTCATTCCTCATTTCTTCACATGGTATAGAGCAAGTTCCCTAGTGGGAACGCTTCTCAGGGCCCACCACTGAAATCGATTTTTTTTCTGACCGGAGCGCGAGTCGCTCCTGCCCGAGGCGCGCTCCGTGGGCCGCCCTTCTATCGAGCCCTCCTAGAGGCCCCTCTCACGGCCCCTCGCGCCACCCTTAGCGGCCGCGTCGCCACCCCTAGGGGCCCCGTCGCCGCACTTCTAGGCCCCTCTAGGCCCCTTCGCAGCCCCGTCGCCGCCCCTCGCGGCCCCGTCGCCGCCCCTCGCGGCCCCGTCGCCGCCCCTACCGGCCCCGTCGCCGCCCCTACGCGGCCCCGTCGCCACCCCCAGCGGCCCCGTCGCCACCCCTAGCGGCCCCGTCGCCGCCCCTCCCGGCCCCGTTGCCGCCCTTCTAGGCCCCTCGAGGCCCCTTCGCGGCCCCGTCGCCGCCCCTAGCGGCCCCGTCGCCGCGCCTCGCGGCCCCGTCGCCGCCCCTCGCGGCCCCGTCGCCGCTCCTTGCGGCCCCGTCGTCGCCCTTAGCGGCCCCGTCGCCGCCCCTTGCGGCCCAGTCGCCCCCCCTTTTGGCCCCTCCCCGGCCCCCTCACCGCCGAGCCGCCGAGCCGCCAAGCAGCCCAACAGCGGAGCCGCCCAGCAGCCGAGCCGCCGAGCCGCCGAGCCGCCCAGCAGCCGAGCCGCCGAACCGCCGAGCCGCCGAGCCGCCGAGCTGCAGAGCCGCCGAGCCACCCAGCAGCCGAGCCGCCCAGCAGCCGAGCCGCCGATGCCGCCCAGCAGCCGAGCCGTCGAGGCCGCCGTCGAGCCGCCACTACCGAGCCACTGCCGGGCCGCTGCTACCGCGGTTGCCGCCCTGTTCCTTCCGGCGCGCCCAAGCCCTACCAACCCGGACTGGTGAGAGCACTCCCTGCTAGACCACTACTGTCATGGCTATCCCCAGTGTCCTTACCTTTGATGCTGAGGGTCGTGCTGTTGACTTCGAGGTCTGGGTAGATGACCTACAGCTCTTCCTACTGTGCGATAGGGCAGACGGACTCTCTCTGTTCGATCTCACCTCTGGTGCCTCTCCTGCCCCGCCTGCTGATGCTGATAGCACTGTTCGCTCACAATGGGCCACCCGCGATGCTGCTCCCCGTCTTGCTGTGCGTCGCCATTTACCGACCACTGAGCGTGCGCACTTTAGTCAATACAAGAGTGCTAAGACCTTGTACGACGCTGTAGTTGCACGCTACTCTTCCCCTGCCACTGCTGCCCTTAGCCGCCTCATGCTGCCGTACCTTTTCCCTGACCTTGCAGCCTTTCCCACTGTCGCTGACCTCATTACGCACCTTCGCACTAGTGACACCCACTACTGAGCTGCGCTTCCTGCTGGGTTCTGCGCCAAGAACCCTCCCCCCCCATGTACATCACCCTCTACTACATATTCACCCGGCTCCCTGACTCCCTTCGCTCGGTCAGGGACCACTTCCTCTCTGTTTGCCCCACCACACTCACCGTTGACCTCCTCGAGGAGGGCCTCCTGGCAGCTGAGAAAAGTATAATTGCTGTAGGAGCCTCTCGTGGTGACCCTCGTGCCCCCTTCTTTGAGGGGTGCTCCCCCTCCCCCCTGTTGCCCTCTGTTGCCTCTGCTGCTGCCGTTGACCTTGTTGGCTTCGAGTCGGTCAGAGCTGCGTCTGCCCCTAGCGGGAGACGCTGCACCGG